TCTGTCTTTTTTTGGCACCTGAGATGTTCAGCTCCAGGAAGGAAACAGGCTACTCCTTTGCTGTCGACTGGTGGTCCCTGGGGGTGACAGCTTATGAGCTGCTGAGAGGCCGGGTACAGTTGAACCACACTTTCTTATTTTTCAATATTCTAGAAAAAATTGTTTTCAAAATCTGCTTCTTTATGTGTATGTATGTGTGCCTGGGTTTGTGTGGGTACCCCACATGTGTGCAGTGCCCAGGAGAGGGCATGATTCCCTGAAAGTGAAGAAAGAGGTGCCTGTGAGTCACCTGTTGTGGGTGCTGGGAGCCAAACCCAGGCCCTTTGCAAGCACCCAGTCTTTTAACCACTAAGCCATCTTCTCAGCCCTTTCAGATTTTGTTTCTGAATGAAAGAATTCATTATTTGCTAAGAACCAAGCACTTTATTTGAAATCAGAAAACACCTACACTGTCTGGTGTTAATAATACCCCTTGAGACCTCTGCAGAGGTTAACTCAGTGTCCTATATATGTGTCACCAAATCTGTCTGTTAATATTAATTACATAGATAAGTTAATAATATGAATATCAAAAACTCCTAGTGAAGGGAAATCAATACACTTCAGTATCTTGGATAAATAGTCGTGTATGTTTAAAGAAAATCATTTTAAAATCACTGGACAGAGCTTTAATTTCAGATACAGCTCTTAAAAAAAAGTCTGAGTTACTGACAGCAGACAATTCGTGCTCTATCTTGCTGGTCCCATGTCAGATGTGGCTGCTGAGTCCCTGGCAAACTGAAGTAGTGTCCTTGTCAATGGAAACATTTCTCAAGCAAGAAACTCTTCTCTACAAGAAGTACAGAGAAACATAATAAAAATTATATTTTATACAATCCTTACAAACTTGTATGAAATTCAGATATCCCCCAAAGTTTTATCATAGTTAGCCCAGCCTACCAAAATAGCAGACTGTGAACCAGGTAACTTAGAATGTTTATTTTATTACAGCTGTGGAGGTTGGAAGTCCAAGTCAGAGAGTCAGAAATGCTGGGTTCTAGTGTCCTTACAACACAGAGAAAGGAAGGTGGGTAGGGGGAAGAAGATAAGGATGCAGAGAGGACATGAAGGCAAATGGCAGAAAGAGAGGTCATTTAATCTTAAACCTTCAGGCTCTGCTATTAGGATATATTCTGTCTCAAACTGTCTGCCTACCATAGTTCCTGTCTTCAAATGCCATGTCACTGAGGGTTAGACTGTGTGTGAGGGTTACATCTAGACCATGTTGTTCATCTCTTGGCTCTCCAAAACCAACCTCCTTCTCACATGTAAAATACACTCAATATAGTCCATTAGCAATAATATTTTCTCCTCCCAACATCATCTCTAGAGTCCCAAAACTCATCTGAATATCATCCAAATCCAATGTGCATGGGACTTAGAGCATGGTTCATCCCAAGGCAGAATTCCCATCTAGCTAGGAACCTGTAAAGCCAGACAAATTATGTGCTTCCAAAATATAATGACGAACACAGACACCAGTTAGACGTCCCATCCAAGAGGAGACAAATAAGAAGCAAAGAGGGGCACCAAGTTCAAAGCACAGAGTCCAGCTAGTTCTCTTTGACCACAAAATGGAACAGAAGATGTTCAGTTGTCTGACACCTTTCCTTCATTCCAGCCCACAGTCTGTGCCCTTTAACTCAAACAAACGGTCCCTCTGCTGGCATAATTCCACCTGCACCTTTAACTTTGCTTGTAAGCCCATGGTTCAATTATCAATTAGTTGTCTAGCCTTATCCTTCATGTTCTCTTCAAAATAACACTGTCCCTTCTTCATAAGCTTGTTTTTTGTCCTTTTTAATTTTTTCTTCTCTTTTTTGGTTTGTTTTGTTTGTATTATTTTATACTATGAACAGAGTCCAAATTTTCAAGATTTTAGTTTCTGCTTCTGTCTTGCTCAATAATTTTCATTTGTAATTCCTCTCTTCTTTTGCATTTTATTATAAGTAGCCACGTGGAGCCATGCTTCTGGCATAATGATCTTTAGGTTCTTAGGTGAAGGAGTTGTTTTGTAGATATATCAGTTGGGAATGGATTCCACAACTCTGCATTTTATTGGTTTTAATTTTCTGTAATGGTCTCTATCTGCTGCAAAGAGAAATTTCCTTGATGAGGGGTGAGAGTACTAAGCTGTAGGTATGAGGATAAATATTTAGGGATTATGCTAGCAGTGGGGAGTACATGGAGGGATTGGAAGGGGGAAATGGAGGTGGAATTTATGTAACTCAAAAAAATTAAAATAGGAAAGTCAAACAAACAAAAACAAAATCTGAAACAACAAATAGACCAAACAAAACAAAGCAAAAAAAAAAAAAAAAAAAAAAAAAAAAAAAAAAACTCCTAGCATTTTGCTGTAACTACCAAATCTTTCTATTTTCTTGTGGATAAACCCTCTTCAGATGTTTATATGTATAATATTTAGCAGTTTCAACAAAAATAAATCATGTTTTAACTTCCTGCTGAGACAATTTTATAACTCCTTGTGTTTTGTTTGGGGAACAGAATCACTGTGTAGCCCAGGCTAAATTCAAGCTCCTCATCCTCCTGCCTCTGCTTCCCAAATTCTGGGATGGGATGTGAATGACAGGCTTGTGCCACCTACCCCCTGAGCTTTTTCATTCTTCCACCTACCCACTGACCTTTTTCATTCTGTACTCTTGAAACACAACCACAAGACACCATTTACTCCCATCTGACACTTTGTTTCCTACACACCCGTTCATCATATATTCTCACTCTTGGTTGACAGCACATTTTAAGGTTCTTTGATATATCCCATCATGTTGTTAGCTAGTCATGTGTCACTCCATAGAGAACTTTCCCTACATTACCTCCTCTCATTTTTCACAGCCACCCTTCACAGTGGTTCATTTTGCTGATGAAGTAGCTTCATTTTGTCCATGAAGAAACTGAGGGTCAGAAAATGAATGACCTGATTTAGCATCCAAAGCCTTCTGACCTCAAGCTCTAACACATGACTACATTATAAAACCTTTTAATTGACTCCTGGGAAAAACAAACACTTCCCCTTCTTCCAGATTAGTTCATCCATCAGTGATTACTTAAACATCTGGAAAAGGTCAGTCATGTGTTAAATGTGTACACACACATTAATTGTCCTGTGATTAATCTAATGTGGAAGTCCTGGTCCTGTGCATATAGTAACCTCTCTGGCTTTAAGTTGCTTACAGTTTCTCTAGAAGACAGGAAAGCCCAAGCCTGGCAGAGCAGTTAGTAACCACAACGTCTGCCCTCTAGTGTAAAGATGTAAAATCATCATTAGCTTGTCTTTTATTTAAAATTTTTTTTAATTTTTGGAGTAGGTTAGAAAGTAACACGTTTCCAAATAAGATTTTCATACTGATTTCATTTTGGGTTTTTAAATTTCTTTTATTCAAACTAAAGTCATAGATGACATGATTGTCCTAGAAAAGGTTTTGTTTCTTTGCTTAGCTTTTTGTCCCAGCATAAAATTCTCTACTACATACTTCATGGAAGCAGAGTATTAGATGCTGGAGTTGATATTTTCTAAGAAATTTTTTATCCTTAACCTTCGCGTTATATTTAATGTTGTTATTTGTTTGTTCAAAAGCATCTCTCTCTCTCTCTCTCTCTCTCTCTCTCTCTCTCTCTCTCTCTCTCTCTTTCTCTCTCGCGTGCGCGCGCGCTCTCTCTCGTAGCCCAGTCTGACTTTGAACTTATGTAGCTGAGACCAGTCTTAAATTTCTGATCCTTCTACCTCTACCTCCCAAGTTTTGGGATTACAAGCACATGCCACAGCATCTAGTTTTTGTTGTATTTCAGATAAGGCTATGGGGAAATTCTGATCTGTTTGTAACCAACTTTATAAAATAATTTGAAGTTTTTCTATTCATTGTTCACTTTTTATATAAATATGGCTTAAAGTTATGAATAAAACAGTTTGAATGAAATCAGTGCATCTGAGACTGGTTCAATCCACTGAAATATTTTGCTTGGATCTGTAAAATAACAAGTTCTTAAAAATTTTTTTTGATGAAAAACTAAAGTCCATGACATTTCTTTAAAAATCCACAGTAATTCTGACAGGATTTGACCATGTACCCCATATAGCTACCTGTCAATCATCTTGAAAAGGTTCTTGTTTAGATTTTATTATTTTAAGGTTTACCTTGTAAATACTTGCAGGCTTTCCCCCCCCACTTTGACCTGTAAATGAAGGCTTTCTCTTTTTCTCCCTTAAGAGACCATATCATATCCGCTCCAGTACTCCCAGCAAGGAAATTGTGAACATGTTTGAGACGGCAATTGTAACTTACCCTTCTGCTTGGTCACAAGAAATGGTATCCCTTCTTAAAAAGGTGAGACAGGAGAAAGAATGTTGGAAGGAAGCCAAGAAAGGAAGTGCACATCCTGGTTTATGGGTTAGAAGTCAAGATGTGGTCAGAGTAACACCCATTTGTAGAATGGTTGTTGTGACTATTTTCAAGTACATGGCTTTCTTAGTTCAACCTACAAGTGCCTTTGGGTGTCCCAAGGCCTTCTCAAACTCATCGTGTTCAAAACATAATTCTTAATCTCTCTGTATTTCCTGGGTCTCTTCCAATGTTCCCTCTCCCAATGGTTGATCCCTTCACTGGTACTCATGCATCATCTTCATATCTAGTCCATCACCTGACCCTAAATTTATACTTCAGTAGCCATTGTCACATTCACTGCCTTTCATATCCTTGGCATTTCTCTAAATGCTATCAAATCCTTTCTGATTTGTTGCATGCTTCTGCCACTCCACTCTCTTTGGTTCTCTTTCCCATATTTCAGAGACTTCTCATTGGTCTTTGAGTAAAGATCAAACTAAATTGTACATTACAAAGGCTCTCAAGCTTTGGTTGGTTTGGCTGGTTTTGCCTTCTCCTCTCATTCATCCCCATCATATCACTACCAGGTTTTGTACATGAGACTCTCTCCTCCTAGATCACCACTTCATGTCTTAGCTCTTCTAGTACCTATCCCGAGATCAATACAACTTAGTGTGATTTTCTGACTGAGGATGGTCTATACATTGCTCTCTACAACTCCATTGTAAGTATAGAAACCAAGAGAAGAATTTTGACACTGCTTGGTCAATACTACACCGTCACATGGTCAATGTATGTGTCTCCTTGGGTAGTGAATGAGCTTGTTTGGCTACTGTTAAACTGAAGTCATGTGTTATACATGGTCTGGAGCTGGATGTGAGCCAGGTACAGTATGACCACATATTGGCTTCAACGGGTCATAGATTGAAGCAACAATACAAAGAAAAAAGAATTGCTGGCCATTTTATGTCATTTGAAAAACAGAGCTTTAGGTCTTAGCTCTGTAAACCACATCATCATACTGTTTTTCATGATTTGAGTTTGGTAAGTCATGGTTTAGAAAACAAACTTGCCCAGTAGGAGAGTTTTGTTTAATTCCTGGGACAAGCCACTTGTATGCATCATGTTGCAAACACTACTTCTAGTGTTATTCCAAAGCATACATTCTCCACTTTATTGGCATGTGGGTAGAAGGAGATCGCTGTCTTGTCAAACCACTTGCTCAGTTTCTGCTACAAGGAACTGCCTTTGGATACTCAGTTTAGAACACCTAGGGAGAATTTCTGGGGTCCACCTATCTGGCCTTCCTTGCAACAATTATGCTTGCATTTCATTGGCAGCTTCTTGAGCCTAATCCAGACCAACGATTTTCCCACTTGACTGACATTCAGAAGTTCCCTTACATGAGTGACATGAATTGGGATGCTGTGCTGCAGAAGAGGCTCATTCCAGGCTTCATTCCAACCGTAAGTCAAGCTTAACAAGCCCTAATGGTTCCCACACCCGGTTCACATTACTCTGTGTACAGGTCCATGCAGGGTCTCATTTGATCATCACATTAGTAAAGTAAAAATGCCCCAATACTAGATTTACAGAGGAGTAAACAGAGTGATACATGGGGCAAGGTGGCCACCAAAACTCATATAACTGGCAAAAAGCTAAACTGGGACTCCATTCTAGAGATGTCAATGTCTAGCCATCTAGGTTTTAACCATGTGTTGTCCTGTAAGAGGTTTTAGTCTCCCAAATAGTTTTTCTAGCAATGTGCTGGTTGGAAAAGAATGATTGTTTTCTTCTTGCAAGGAAGTAATCCTTGATGCCTATCGAAATCTGTGAGTTAGTGGGAAACTTCATCCCTAGGATCATACCTCTTCTTTTGTAGGTTTTATTGTACTGATGTATGGTTTTAGGAACTAATAATTACAGAGAGCTAACTCCCTTTGGGTGAGTACCCAAACAAGGGACATTGTGTCCCACTGTAAACTTATGGATAAAGATCAGGCGAAGGCTCTACTGAGGCTCCTCTCTTCTCTCTGCCTGGGATTTGAATTATACCACTAGATAGAGGAACACTGGCAGGAATTCTGTGCTCCTGGGGAGACTTGAGTTTTCTGTTCATGTCCAAGTAAGGCACTTGTTCTGGGGACATGGACACATGGATGTTTCAGTAAACAGCTGGATACGGTGCTCACTTATCAGTCAAGTGATAGCCCTGTGAAAGGAAGGAGAGTGTAATGTGGTGACATCTGAGGTGTGTCTACTGAGTGAGCAACAGGAAAGTAGGGAGAGATTTGTACTTGGGTGCATGCCTGATGTATGACTATGGCAGACCCTGGGAACCACGTCTTGCAGGTACAAAGTTCCTTCTGTTAGCCACTCCTGACTCCTGTGAGAGGCTCCATCTTACAGATTTGTGGTCTTTCTGTGACTCTGACCCATTTGGAGAACTTACCAAGTGATGAATTCTTGGCCTTATGTTCAGAAGTCCTGATGCTGAAATTTGGTTGGTGACTTTGGAAGCTGAACAAGCAATGGCCATGATTCTGATCTATTTGCTCATTGGAACAAACTGAGAAACCCAGAAGGCACTTAGGAATATTATTTTAATGTGGTCTCCTTCATTACACACTGAGGAATAGTTAGAAGTTTGTAAAAATAGTAAACTATACAATCAGAGAATGTAAAAGACAATGCCGGCAGTAAATGCTATAAAATCTCAGTGGGGAGCCAAGATATTGTGCTTGGATTGCTCCTATTAGGACTAAGTATTATTCTCTGTGTTAGGAATAGTGCAAGAATCTGAGGCCTCAGTCATATTTCCTCTTTACAGAAAGGCAGGCTCAATTGTGATCCGACATTTGAACTTGAAGAAATGATTTTGGAGTCCAAACCACTTCATAAGAAAAAGAAGCGACTGGCAAAAAAGGAGAAGGAGATGAGAAAATGTGACTCCTCTCAGGTAGGTGGGTTTTCCACCAAGCTCAGGAAGTATAGTTCATTCTGGAGCTGCTGTAGGGAGGTCATCTCAGAAGTCTGCTTTTGCACTATGTTGGGGATTTATGGTGATGAGGGAGGCAGGGAGAGCTGAGATGGCTGCTGGGTTGTCTGCACCTCCTTGATTCCAAGCAGCATCCAGAATACTATTCCCTGGGATTTGGAGGATATCATCTTAAATTCCCATCATGTCTTCCAAAAGGTATGGGACAGGCTGTTGAAGGTGCATGTGCAGGACTCTCTGACAGGGACATGGAGGGTGGGTTGACTGCTACTGTGTCAGCATTGTAATTGTAGCTAACATGCACTTTCAGAAGCTGAAAGTGTGATATATATATTCTAGGGTGCCCAAGTCATTGTAGCCGATTCTGATAGAACAGTGGCCCTGGTAGAGGGATTCCCCTCCTGCCATCTTCCCAGAATCTACTCCCATCTGGAAACAGGACTATTTCTATCCAGGATGCTCACCGAATATAGGTTTATTGACTATTTGAGGTCCCTATGTGTCAGCTAAGCTTGCCTCTGTTTCTTTGTTATGTTCACCTTGAAGACATGTCTTCTCCAAGAGCACCTTGATGCTGTTCAGAAGGAATTTATAATTTTCAACAGAGAAAAGTGAGTAACAGTGGGGTGGAGACCAGCAGCTTAAAATGATGTTATTTAAGCAGATTTCACTTGCCTAGATTTGATATATGTTTAAGAGTTTTTATTTTCCTTATTATGTAAATAATATAAATCTAAGATACAGATTTTGAAATTTCCTGGAGCCTTTTTTTCTGTCAGTGTTTTTTAATTAATAAATAACCCTTGTGTTGTAGTTTTGCCTATGGGAACTGAAATGTAAACACAGTGACTATTTAAAAAGTATTTATTCTAACATTTGGGAGGATGTGTATATTCATTGGACAAATTTCAGGAGTCAATTCTCTCCTTCCACCTATGGGTCCTAGGGATTAACTCAGGATGTCAGGCCCATTGGTAAGTGCCTCTACCCACTGAGCCATCTTGCCAGCCCAACAATTGGTTTTTTAAAAAACATTTTCTTAGTTTATACCTCTTTATAAGTTGAGGAAACCCTGAGTGGAATCAGCAGGTTGTATTTGTATATTTATTCATTTGTATTACAACAATAGTTAAAGAGGAAGAGGTAGTAAATTCTGGAGGGGGCTGAGTCAGACATAAGACAGGTGGGAGGGAGGAAAGATGGTGAGATTTAAATAATTACATTTTAATTATGTTTTAAAAGAAACAAAAATTACTGGATTATATCTATCATTTCAAAAGTTTAAATTCATTTTCCTTTGAATGAACAACCTTCCCTTCCCCCCTCTCTCTCCCTCTTTCTCAAGAGTAAAAAGAGACTTTAATCAAAGACAAGCAAATGTTCCCTTGGAACAATCCAAAAACAACACAGAAGAGGAGGATGGCCAGAATAACAACCTATGAAGCTTCATCATCTTCAGGGGACAATTCCAGGCACCTGGCCAGAAACTTGTGATTATTGCCTCCAGAAGTGCTAAAGGCAGTCCTTACCACACCACACCTCATGACATAGAGAATGTGAATGAATCCCCTTCCAAGGTGGCAACACTCTACTGGTTCTGGGTCCTCCAATCTTATTCCACCACTCATTAACTTTGCAACCTTAAGAAAATCATTGAACTCCTTCCTCTGTCTCAGTTCACTGCTCTGAATGTGGAGGGCTCTTCCAGATGAGCTAGCCTTTACTCTGTTAATGCCACAGTTGTTGTTCTAAACAGTCTTTATTCTCATTTTTGAATGAATATTTGAATGTAGGGTTTTTTTTTTCACATTTTCGATGACATTGTGAATACGGACATTGTATACAGTGAGCCTCTTCAGGGCTAGAGAATATCATACAGGGGCCAAAATTCCAAGGCCTGGTTAGATAGGAATAGGCAATTCCAGCCGGAATAAATATATAGGTCAGATTAGGAGTAAGAAAGACTCACAGGACCTCACAATGGGGTGCTATGTTGGCATGTTATCTGTAAGCATGGGCCTTCTGTAACTCTCAACTTCCCTTCAGTGATAGGGCCTTGGTCAACTGAACTTGGTACTCATGGAAGGAGTCTCATGTGCAGAAGTTTGGTAAATGCTGCAATCTGTGAAACTTTCAACATGGCAGTTGTAAAATACTGGACTCCATTCGCTGTTAGACAGTATGCCTGCCACTTCAGGGCTAATTTTCTTCAGCAGAAGGTCAGAGAATGCTGCTCCAATGAAGGTAGTGTTGCTTTCAACACTTCAGGGAAGTTATACCTTACAGGAAAATTATCTTGCTTTTTAAAACAGGAAGTCAGAGAAACTTTCACTTGAGCAATGCCTAACTGCACATAGCACAAGGGAAAGAAAACTTAGCCCTTGCTTTTCTGTCATTAAATACTTCACCTTTTGTTTCATCCTTTATGTTTTATTTTGGTCAACTAAAATATGGAACAATATACACATGGTCACAGACTAGAATTACACTTAAAGGAACAGCAAGCTTACAGATCCAAGAGGTCAAATTCAGAGAGATGGATACCCCCACATTATACTCACTTGGAGATGGATGGCAAAAAATGCCTGGCTACTTAAAATACCACTGCTGTCTCACTCTTTGCTGTCTTTATGTTTCACCTGTGTGGAAAATATAATCCATATACATGTGCATGTGATGTAACCCCACTGTGCTGATGCAAACAAGATCTTAGAAGAACCTTTTTGGGTGCCCCCCTGGTGACACCAGGTAGAATCAAGAAGTAGGTGAGCTTTACAGGGAATTGCTCTCAACACCTTGAAACTGAGGCCATCTAGTGGTCACCATGATGGCAGCAGGCTGGCCCAAGTGACCTGATTAGGGGAAGGCAGACATTAGGGGAAGGCAGACAGAAGGAAACTGATGTTAGCAACTAAGTTTGTGTAAGAAAGCAGGAGCTGAACATAAGACAGCATTCATGGTTCTCCAAAATTTCTTGCATTGTTATGTGCCTCTCTACTAAGAGCAACTATATTATATTTTTTTAAAGAATCAATAGCCACCTCCTCTATCCCACTACTATCTCTGAAGTTCTCATATGATACCTGTGATGTTTTAATTATGTTTAGTCACTGTTTAATTCGAATCCCTTGCCCTGACATTCAACGAGGTGAGTGGGCCAATCATAGCAACATTTAAGTGACTGAATTGTGCTCCATGTGCCACCTCGACACCTGTCAGAGACCACACACATACTTCAGTTTCATTCTTTTGTCTGTCTGTGTTGAGGGCCTGATGTGCTATGCGTTCACCTTCTACTGCCTGGCTCTCCCTTCTCCTGGTTCTTGCTGGCATCCTCCAGAATGGCAGCTTTCAGAAATGATTTCCGAAAGACAGCAGGGACAGCGGGTCTCCACCGAGAAGATGTGGACTGCTTTGCAGCTTTAGACATTAAGGTGGGGGTAGAAATGCCTGAGATCTCTGAATTTCAAATCTATATTTTTTTTATTCCCACTGAGTATTTTTCCCGAGTACTTCTGGCTTTCAGAACTCCCAATGTGCTGGTTCTAGAGCAGTGTGGGAGTTGGGTAGATTTTTATTGCCAGTCAGATGATTGGCAGGCAATCTGATTCATTGCTGATCTGTACCTCAGCCATGGAGTATGTGCTTAGGATGTACCAAAGCCTAAGTTAGATCCCCAACACCAGGAGACAGAATCACTGCATCTGGCTGTGTAGAATAACTGATTCTGGGCACTGCTCACTGCTGAATATTATAAAGATATTAAAAACCACAAAATCAAAACCTTCCCATATGTTCCTGGTGATTGCTTCTTGGTTTTATTCTCTAGTTTGAGCTAAGTGCTAGCACCATCCTATGAAACTCAAGAAATCCTTATGAGAAGAATTAGGGCCAAGAACTCCAGAAAACAGTGTGGCCACTCCATCACAGAATCTCTCCTACCATTTTCCTCCTGTACCATACATAGCATTTGAAAGCCCTGAGCAGGGTTTGAAACCCTGAGTGTCCTGGCTGTGACACCACTTCCTGCACTGCAGTGAGCTGCCACCTCCAGAGCATTCCCAGTGACCCACAATGAAGAGGTGGACAGCCTTACCCACAGAGCAACTCTGGCCACGATCCCTACTCCTCAGCCCCAGTGTTAGCTGAGATCATCTTTAGGACAACAATGAATCTCAAGCAATCTAATTAATTAGAGGAAATCCAGAAATGACTGGATTTCCTATTGCTATGGCTTCCTAGTGGGCACATGAATAAGTAACCAGGAAAGAGAGTGCTGAAGCAACTATTGAGACCGTGTTGCTGCTTGAGGTTGGCAGGGATGCTAAGCTTCAATGCTTCAGTTGATCAGTGAATAGGCAAGGCAAGCAGTTTGCTCAGCTCCTCCATATTTCTGTGTTCTGTCCACACAAAATCTGTCTCCTACTTCTGTCTATCTGTGTTTGCTCTTCACTGTGACTTCAGTGTGTCTGCCCAATGTTAGACACTGAGACTCCAAATTTCAGTTTTCTGTACTGTGCTGAACTGGTGGCTGATTTAGAAGCCCCCCAAATTAAAAAAAAAGTGTACTTCTGTTGATTCATAGCATATGTGATATAAATGTGATATAAATGTGCCTGCATGGATTAAAATGTCGTCTGTAACAATAAACCCTGGACGTTCCTTTGTCAGCTGTGTGTGTGTGTGTGTGTGTGTGTGTGTGTTTGGCCATCCCAGGTCACCTGCTCTTACTTCAACTTCTGTTGAGAAGAAAGTGCCTTTAGCAGGGATAGTGCTGGAGATGTGTGCCTGGACATTTTAGTGGACTCACTGGGGGAGTGCCATGAGAATCCTGCCTTCTGCCTTTTACTGTGACCTCAGGTTTACAGAAAAACTCTAAATCTCTTTTGAGATCTTCTCCGCCCTTCAGGGCCCTGTTTCTTTCCTTATGCCATAGCCACGGGTGGTTATTCCAAGGCCCATAATCTGAGATGGGAACTCTGGGCTAACTCACAGGCTCACAACAGCTCCATAACTGCAACCTGCAATCTCCTGGGCTTGCTGTGGAGTTCATGGGCTCTGAAGTCCTGCATTCCTGCTGCCCTGTTGCTCAGACCATGCTGAGTGTCCTGGATGTACTTCCCAATAGCCAGCTGAGCAAGCAAAGATCAGGACCCAACACTCTGGATTCTGAAGAGGGCCAGCCTTAGGTGTATCAGTGATCTCATTTTGTAGGTTGCTCTAGTCTCCTTATTTTCCATCCTCTTCTCTGGATTTTGTTCTCTCTGGAATGGCTTGGTGTTAGGAGAGCTGATTCTCAAAAGTTCTTTGGAACCAGAATGTCCTTGTTATTCTCATCCCTGTTCAGTGTTCTCATTCCTGACCTGGTCAAGTGTGACTCAACTCCTGGGCACTTCCAGATCCAATAGGTATGAAAGTTAGTCAATGCTTGTCTGGCATCAATGTTTTTTAAAAAAACTGTCTCTTCCTTCCCAGAACACTGGATCCCAACTAAGATTGGTGTAAGTGCTGATTGCTTCTTTTAAAGATATTCAAATCTTTTAACATGCTTTTCCTTGCTCATGAGAATGGAGGCATGTTTCACAAGATTTGAGGGTGACCAAAGGTATCCTCTCTGACTGAGACTATGGAGGAGATCTCCTTTCTGGGTTCACTAGGAAGGGAAAATGAAACCCTGGAGATGCCAATGACTGGTTTTGCCTCCACAAGGAATGAGCTTTACCAAGGTGGAAGCACCACTTTAGGAGGGCTGGACTGAGACAGAAAGCTGCCGGGGTTCACCACTTACATTTAACAATGCCTATGGTGTCTGACCAATTGTATCCCAGTTCTTTGGGCATCCTAAAACCCCACTTCTAGTCCCACCCCTGTACCAGTGGAAAACTAACCATTGAATGCCCTATGCAAATCAAAACTTTATCCAGGGATGTTTCCCAACACAGGGAGAGATGTTATGGTGGTCCAGTAGCCAAAATGATCTCAGAACCCTGAATTGGGCTTTCATTTCCTTGTTGTGGGTTTCTGTTTGTTTGTTTGTTTTTGTTTATGCAGTGCTGGGGATCTAACTAATGGCCATCTGCCTCCTGGCAAAGCAAATGATCCACTCTAAACTGCATCCATAAGCCCGGACATTTAAAGACTCATTATACTAATCAGAACCTCCGAATTTCTAATGCACATGGAAGCTCTCTGATCAACTGTCTGAAGAAAAGAATAGTGTAGGTTTACTTGGGAGTTTTCCCTCCAAGTTTAGGCTTTGGGAAATAAGTAGATTGTGTTTACAGATCAGTATATTAAGAAGGGTTGTGTGAAGATAGAAACACGTGAAAGTACAATACAGCTTTCAGAGTTCTGTCTTAGAGTCAGCTAGATTTATCCCCAATAAATGTATTTTACACTAATAGTGAATATGATTGTTTATCACAAAACCTTTATTATTCTC